AAAAAAAAAAAAAGAAATGCTGCCATTCTGCAGCAGCTTTAGCAGTTTTACACACTCCTTTACACTGAAGAAAAAATTAGGTGCAGTCTGTGCCTCTGAAGACCAGGTTTGTATCCTCATTCTCTTACAGTCTTGTACATTACTTTAGTGTGTGTATGGGTAAATTCTGTAATTAGGTTTCCATTCTTTAATAGGGAGATACAGCATTATTCTATGGCATGAATGCTAGGACCATACAAGTCAGCCTGTAAGGACCCAGATATCTGGTGATGCTGAAACTGTTTCAGTGATATTTTATATGATAGTTACTTAATTAAGTGCACGCTTTGGAAGAACACAGAAAATTTGCACCCATAAGTTTGTTGCCTTTCTTCATAGGTTTTATGGCAGGTAATGGTGCAGAAGTCCATAGAGGGACAAGGGTAAATGTTGAGACAGGACAGAGGGTCAGGTTCTGTAGATGATCAACTGGCAGTCTGTTGTTGTGAGACTAAACAAATTATTCATAGGAAATTTGAGGCTGGTTTCCCATGTCACGTTTGCTGAAAGGATATCCTTCCCTTCCTCTGTACCTAGTATACCCAGAACAGGCCTAAGGCTTGACACCCACAATGAGGAAAGGTCTTGTCCACTGTTTAAGGGATATTGCAGGTCTCTGGCTAAGTCTGCTGATCTTTCCTTTTCAGGGAAAGAAAGGTGTCTCCCTGCAGCATCATTTAAAAATAGCAATCTCGATGGGCATAAAAGGAAAGGTGATGGTTCTGGTAACATGAGAGCTGACAGAGAACAGAATTATTTGAATTGATGCTCTTTTTTCCTCCCATTGTAGAAACATGAGGAAAAAAATTATAAAATCAGAGGAACCAAAGAAGCAATGTTAGCTAAGTTTGGTGCAGGTGCAAAAAGAAGGACTTCAGCTGGGAGAGAGAGACACACCACATATACCAGCATAGCTTCTGTCTTTGGCCCTCCTCATGGAAATGAGCCATACCCTCTATAGGGAGATGGGGAACACCCTGTAGGTCATGCTTAACCATAGGGGAACTGTTGCCCTGGCTGCTCCAGACCTCCTCCTCCTTCTCCACCAGCTGCAGAGATGCCTGCCCAGACACCTACTCCTAAAAAACTGTGTTTAATTTGGCCAAGGCAAGGAATAGGATATGCTTTCCAGGGAAATGACTGATATCAACCAGACACCTACTGATCTTGATATTAGTTCTTAAGAAACCTGTCCTATAGAGAAAAGGCTGAGGGAGTTGGCATTCTTCAGCCTGGAGAAGAGAAGGCTCCAGAGACTTTAAAAGCACCTTCCAGTACCTAAAGGGAGCCATCAGAAGAGCTGGGGAAAGATTTTGTACTGAAAGAGGGTAGGCTTTGACTGGATATTGGGAAGAAGTTCTTTACAGTGAGGGTGGTGAGACACTGGAAGAGGTTGCCCAGAGCTGTGGATCCCCATCCTTGGAATTGTTCAAGGCAAGGCTGGATGGGGATTTGAGCAACCTGGTCTAGTGGAAGGTGTCCCTGCCCTTGGCAATGGAGTTGGACTGGATAACCCTTGATGGTTCCTTAGAAACCAAACTATCCTATGATTCTATAACTTCTCAGATTAAAAAAAAAATAAAAATATAAAGATCATATTCAGACAAAGATCATATTTCTAACTGCAGTAGAAAAGTCCCTTAACTACAAAATTATCTTGTCTGATGCTTCCTTCATTAAAGACAATTTTAAGAAGACACTAAGATGTTGAGGCAAGCCAGACAGCTGAAATTAGAACAGCTTCCACTCTAAATTCAGCTACATGTCCCTGTCCAAAGACAACATGCAGGCCCACAACACCTGGGCAGATGGGTGTCACAATTACTTCTTAGTATCTCATATAGCACAGCAGGAAAAAACAGAGAGAAAGCAGTAAAAAAGCACAAAACACAGCCAGAGAAGGATGAGTAGCACAGCTCTGAAAGAAATAATTAGGTTGCATACTAAAAAAGCATCTGCTTCAACCAAATAAGTGAGCTAGTTTCCATATGTGTGGAGCTTTGTAAATTTTTTGCAATTAAGTAATGAAGGAAATAACTAATCTTTACTGTCCTATCAGTACAGTTCAGTACTTTTTGAAATCACCATTCATTTTTTGTCATCCAATCAAACTGATAAAACCAGCAATGGAAAAGTCTAGATTGTTTTTTACTTTAAAAAATTGAAATTTTGAAAAAGTAATTAAAAACCTGATGACTTCTTTACCTGCAAGAAGAAATTGTGTTCTCATATAAGTAATCATATGTATAAACGCAGCAGGGTATTTGACCTATAATCTCAATTTTTGAGAGTGTATTTGTGTGGAAATTTCCAAGTCAGAGTGAAGATGATTTTTAATGTACCATTTCAGTGCAGTCCAGTGCCAGTCTATTTTCCAGACCCCTCTAATGGGATAACTTCTCTGGCTTGTTGCCATTTGCCTCAGGCAGGGGCCGGAGATATCTGATTCAGTAGTGAAGGTGTCCTGAATAGCTACTGCGCCCTCCCATGCCTGAATAAAATTCAACATGCAGATGCTTTTTCTGTCACACTTACCAGAGAGGAAAGTGGATCCTTGAGCCCAGCTGAGAGACCACGACATCCATTAGCCTGTGGGTTGTCAAGGGAAAAAATGGTTTCAAAATTATGGACTCTTTCTAATTACTGAAAAGGATATTTCTTGACCATGGTAGCCAGCAACTCACACAGTGTTGGTAGTGAGGAGCTAGGCTTCTGAAGGATCTGGCAGCCTGCAAGCTAGGCTTGTGGGTGTCACAGAAATGGCAGTAAGATTATAATGGTTTGCCTTTAAATACAAAGAAGGTGTTTACATTTTGGTAGTTGGTGGGACCACAGATGTGTTGGGGTTGGAACATTTTCTCACAAGGGGTGATGAGGATGGTCTTACACAGCACCTATGAATTGGTTCGTTTAGAAATCTTCAATTCGTTGAAGATATGTGTACCACTGCTCTGATGATGGTGCTATGAAAATAATGTAAATATATGCAGCTGTAGTCAATGAGGTCTGCAAATGCATTACAGACACGAGGTAATATGGTATTTACTGATTTGTATTACAATAGAATGTGTTCCCTCTGGGAACTTTGAGGAGCTTTGAGGATAAGCTCTCCCTAAAATGGTACCTGGTCTGGCTCAGAGTACAGCAGTGTTTAAAAAAACGTAATTGAATTTTGGTTCTGTAAGATTTGCTTTTTTGATTCTAGTAACAGGCAAGGTTTAGGCTCCTGACTAGTGAAGCAAATGTACTATTTTTTTATTTTAAAAAAATTATTTTGCTTCTAGAAAATTGACTTTTCTAATCTCTGTGTAATCTGGCAGTCAAAAGCATGCACATTCACCACCTTCCCTCTTTTCATTTTTCTTTTGTCTTTCCCATTTGCATCTCTGTTATTCTTTATTTCATCCCCATTGTTGTATTTCCCATTTTAGCTTTAATTCCCACCCCATAGCATCATCCAGACTCTGCTAGAGAGATGGTGAAACTCCTTGTGATCTTTTTGTCTCCCGTTTTCCCCTTCTCCCACCCACCTCCTCTTTTGTGTGTTCTGTCTTTACCCAGGCACTGCTCTCCGGGGGAAGTGAGCATCTCTGATGTGCAGCCGAGCACCAGGTGAGTCCCAGCCCTCTTGGTAACAGTGGGAACACACAGAACTGTTTGTTAGTGTCCCGCAGGTGTTTGCACCTAACCAGCACCAAGGTCCTGGCTGGCTGCTGGGGCACAGAGGACTCCTTGTCTGTCCTCCACATCCCTGTGTCAGGAGAGTGGGGAGCCAGGCTGCCGAGGGAACCAACGCACTGGAGGCGTGCCATGCTGATACGTGTTGCCATAGTAGCAGCAGCAGAAGATACAGCTGGCCGCCTTCTCAGGGAGAGCAGGAGCTGGAAAATATTAATTAATTTCATTTCACAGGCTTTAGAAATCTGCAGGAAGGACCTATTTGAAAAAAGTCTTGTGAAACATCTCTATGTACATGTGTTTGCTTTGTCCAGTCACCACCTCTAAAATGTTCGGGCAAAATAGTCACCAGCACTACCAAACATACTCAGCATGAATGTTGTGCCCTGTCTTGGGCAGCCAAATTGGTAGTTTTGCTGGAGAACAGCCTTCATGGCATGGAGTAGGGCAGAGGGAAAGGTGGCAAGGGCCAGCCCTGTGGATGGCAGAGAGCAGAGAGGAAGCATTTTCAGTGGCTGGAGCTTTCAGGCAGACAAGTTGTTGCATTTTGTCCTCTGTCCCTTCAGGGCATATGGTGGTACCCTGGTTTGTAATCCATCACAGCAGTGAAACCCAGTAGCCAGGTTCTGATTAGATAGCCTGCCACCTTTCCAAACAGCCAAGTCCAGCAGGACCCTTGAGCTTGAAATGCCTTCACAGAAAGTGAGCAGGTGTCTGCAGCAGATGGAGGCTTGACTGGAGACATCCAATTTTTGCAGCATGTCCCTTTTACTAGCAACATTGTCTCTCCCTCTGCTACCATCGGCCTCGACAAAGCAGGCAGGAAGACATCTAGGAGAAAGTACAAGAAAGCAGCCTGTTGTGCCTGCTTTCAGCAACAAGCCAGTGGTCAAGCCTTTGCAGGTCTAGGTAAATTCTGACTGTGTGGAACACCATGGCCAACTTGCAAAGTAAATGGGAAGTAGTCAGAAACAAAATGCCATCTAAACTTATGTGTGATGCAGAAAATGTAATAACTGTGAAACCTAAGCAAAAGGATTATAATGATTTTGTTATTTTCATATTTGTAATAGTTATTATCATTCCAAACAAACTGCAACTAGAAATACAAACCCATGGTTCTGGTGCAAGAAATTCAAAGTCATTGCACTGTTAAATGGTCAATTGTCATTAAAATGAATGTTTAAGTTTAATCTTAAAATTCAGAAGTTGGTCCCAGATTTGTTAGAAAATCATGGGGTTACTAAATGACAGGAAAGGGACAGGGGTTTGTTTCCCAAATACAATTCTCCAACCTAGTGTACTCTATCGAGTTTGAGCTCATTTTCTTACTAAATACAGAATGAATCAGTGAGCTTTTGAATGTTTGTTTGTTTTTTCTGTTATTTATTTTATCACAGTAGAAGTTCCTGGAGTTCTGAAAATGCAACTGATTACAAGAAGAATAGAGAAAAAAAAGGAACAGTGAGTTTCAGATACATTAGACATAACGAAATGTCTATCTCTGTGTTTAATTACAACTTCTATCTAATATGTTCTGATGAAATACAGCTAGCCCATCTTCCTCAAAATAATCTTGATCTGTGTAATTTCACTACATGCTTAGTTCCCCCACTCCTATTTCCTCCATTAGCTAAATACTTTTGTTGTCTTAACATCAGCTCAAATAATTTTTTCTGTACTGAGAGCAGAAATTGTGGCTGACAGATCAGGTTTTGAACATTAGGGGACTTAGTGGGGCACAGCCTTCCTTGCCTGCGGCCCACAGCAACAGACCCGCATGCTGTTGAGATGGTGTCTTCTCAACATGTCGTCTCTTACTCAACGATGACATCAACATGCTTGGAGTTTATTGTCATGAGAAGTATTTAAATACTAGGAAATTATTAAAAAAAAGAGCACAATCCACAGAAAAGGGCAGATGCAAAATTAACCTGTGGCAGTTCTCCCATCAGCAAGCTGCTATGCGATGACCTGACACCAGGTTTGTTGGGTGTCAGCCAGAAGAACATGGGCAACAAACTTAGGTAGACCTAAGTGAGGAAAAAATGAGAGGCTGGATGTGTGACTCCTCCCGATGAGTGCTGTGACAATGACAGCCAGTGGGAAACGTCCTGTCATCCCCACAGCACAGCCAGCTATCTGCAGCCCTATGCAGAGGATTACAAGTGTGACATGAGTGCTATAGAAAATATATATATAAATCTGTATAGTATTAAATATTTACTGGTTTTGAAAAGAAATTAGTGTACAGTTTAGGATTTAAACATTTAGGCAGCCCTTCTTGTTCTTTTCACCCACCCGTATTTTCTAAAAAAAGACAAGTGTGGCAGCACAAGCATTTCTCTGAAGAAATAAATCTTATTATAAAATCATGTCCTACAATTTCAAGAAAATACTTATCACCTTTAACCAAACTGACAAATTAATTGCAATCTTTTTTTTTTTTAATTGTCCAAAATAAATTCTGATGCATCAAGAGTAAGAATTTGCAGTATTATCCATCTGTCATTTATCTGAAGACTGAACAAGAGACATTTCATTACCTTTCTCCTGATTTCAACCAGTTCTTCTTTGGAGAACAAGCACAAAGTGAGACATACCCCTATGAACTGGTATGTTGAAAGTACATGGCCATAAAACAAGATAGCTCTTTTCCTGTTATATCATTTTGTTCCCTCTTTTTGGTAACAGATTACACTGCTTGGCAATGACTACTACAACTATTGTCAAGTTATTTTACAAACGGTGAAAGAAGCTAAGCTTGACAAGGTATGCCTTTTCTTTAATAACAGTTACTCTGACAACAGCAAACAACTGTAAGGACAAAATTATGTCTGGGTAGCTTATTTACTTGATAGTTTGAGCTAAGGTAGATGATGATTTACAGACAAAAGGAGCATTCAGTCAAGTTATTTTAAAATTCTGAATTAACAAAACATAACTCCAAGAATATGAGTTTGTGCACATATCCTAAGCCCTCCTGGCACATCAACAAGTCTGAGCTGAGCACATAACACATAGCCATGGATACATATCTTTAATTACATCCTCACAATTTTTTGTTCCTTCCTCTTTCATACACTGCCTGGTGAGGTTTAGCTTGTTGTGGCTTCCCCAGCACACTTCCACTTACACTGGAGCCCAGCCAGAATGGGCCCAGGCAAAGAGACCATCTCCATGGTCATTCCTTTGCTTCTGTATTTGTGTGTTGTCTTACTGAATTATACTTCACATTCCACAAGTGTAAAATCAGTGGAAATTCATAAAGGGCTTTGTGTGGCAGGTGGAAGACTGTATCATGTCATTCTGGACATCTCTGCAGCCTGAAAGAATAGAACTTATGTGCCTGCCAGATGTGTGCCAGATGTTAAAAAGCTATGATAGGCATCTATTCAAGGTACTGCACACACATTTGCTTGTTGTAGTTATGCTATTACGTGTTTGTGTCTTTTTGGTAGCTCTAAGGAGAAGAGTCCTCTCTTTCTTTTGTGCTGTACAATGGGATTTTTGTTTATTCCTCAACTCTATCTTTTTGCTTCTTCTGGGACAGCCCAGTATGAGTTTTGGTTTTGAAAGGAGACACTGGAATTTGGGATAGATTCCATTTTTCTCCTATATATTAATTTGAAAGTTCCTAATATCAGTGGAGTGTGCTGTTAGAAATGTGGTTTGTGGTTCTGGCATGAGGTTATGCGACTGAAATTTCAATTGATGATGATTTTCCAGATTATGAGAGTTACTTTTCCTTTGAGAACACTACTGCATTTCTCAGTGACCTTCCACATAGAAACATGCAGTTTTCTGATAAAAATAATTTGCTTCTTATTTCCAGCAGGTCATTAAGTATTGTCTAGAAATTAATTCAGGTAGCAACATTTACTCTAAGGATCTTTGTCCTTCTACTAAAAAAGTTAGCTTACCTCTTGCTTAATTGGAAGAAAAAAATGTGTTTCTTTACACTTACATTTAAATTATCTATATAATTTTATTTCATGCTGCTGTAAATATCTCTGGTACACCAGTCAAATACAGCAGCATGAATTTGTATTCTAGGAATTGGAGAACATCCTACTTCCTGATTTCCTGGAGGAGGTGCCTGCACAACACATAGACTTCATCAGATCATTCAGTGAAAATGTTAAATGTTGGATGCTTAATCCTTTGGGAGGTTTTCCATTACTGCTCCAAACATCCAAGTCTAATGGTAGGTTTGAGTAGGAGAGGTATTTTCAAAAATAATCTTTGGTTAAACTGCAGAAAAGATTGTATTACAAAACTCTTAAATTATTTTTTAAAATCAGCTGATGTAACACTGATAGTAGCAACAATTACAGTTAGTTGGGATACAGTTAAAAATAAATGGTCTTGCATAATGTGATGAGAACAGACTTAAGCCAAAAGTATTCCCAATTCATTGAAATTGAAATGTACTTAAATTGAAATGCACTTAAATCTTTTTACAGATCTGTTTCTTGCCATGATTGCTTTGGCCATGTAGAAGACCAATACTATGCAGCATGCCTTCTGAAACTCAGATATTATTTTGTCTCTTCCTCTTACAAGTGGCTTCATGCTGATAAATTAATTAATGGCTGTAGCAGTCCAATATAAAAGGAAAAAAGCCATAGTTCCATAGGGAAAATATGACTGATATTAGAAGACAATTGGAAAAAAAATGTGTTTGTAAATATGTACACATTATACCTGTTATGCTGAAGATTTTGACTAAAACATGTTGCTAAGAGGATCACTGAGTGAAGACCAACTCCACAGTGGTAAAGCAGGAGTCCTGTGTAGGCAAAAGTTTGTGTTAGGATTCATATGCTCAATATTGCAGACAGGCTTAATTTTGGCATTTCCTACATTTGAATGCTTGACAGAGCAAACATAGTAATGTATTTTTAACATGTGTGTGCAAAGAAGTGTATGTAATTAATCAGCTGTGGCCCTGTGTATATACATCCTGTTTTTTTCTGGTTTGTACAAATATCATAGAAACACAAATTTTCACTTTAAAATCATTGTCTGTCTACAGCAGTTGCTTTGTATTTGATTTCCCTGCAACTGAGAAACAGTTATTTATTTTACTTTGAGGAAGTGTGTTCTTGGACCATACTTTTCATAATTACATACAGCACATTGTAAACAGGATAAAAGTAGAACAAAATAAACCAACTTATATCAACAGTGCTGTAGAATTATAGATGCATAAAGGTCGAAATGTAAACTATATAAACAAAATACAGCAAGTTTATATTAACATTACTTTCATTCACCTGAAACTGTACAAGTAAAAGAGCATTAGTCTTAATTTGGAAGTATTAAATGTAAGAAAATATTAAAAGACATTTTTCTGCACATCATGGATTAATAAATTCACAGTAAAGGACTAGTGGTGAGCTGGGCAGCTTCTTGCAAGCTTTGGCGGCAAGGGTCCCCAGCCCATCCCATAATGCTGGCTCAATGCCCCTGCTGTGCCTTCTATTACCCTCCATATCTCCCCTAGGGAACTACTTTCTAACTTAAAAGATGTCTTCATTAATGTATTTTAGACTGTAAAATATTAATGATATGAAACACCTGCCTCTTCTTCTTTAACAGAAGCTAAAGAGTTTGTAAAAAGGCTCAGGAGGAAGACAGACCTTTGCAACATGGTCAAGGTACGTTTCAGAATTCATGAAAAAAAAACCTGCTGGGAATCTCATTCCTGTGAGCTGTCTGCACTATTTTTGAAATACTCCATTGTAGAACAAGTGCAGCAGCATGGATGTTCTTAACTGTGCACCGGCCATGTCATGCTCACACTCCTACCCATCTCTTCCCTCACTATTAAGCATGCTGAGGAGACATTTTCCTCCCTCTGGATTCTTCTGAGATACAGTTGATGGTAGGCCATGGAGAGGAGAGCATAGTAGTAGGAAGGGTCAGATGACAGCTTCCAGTATCTTTGCCCATCCATGCCGAAGTCAGTCAAGAGCATATGCTGGAGCATTCTTTCCATTGGTGTCCTTGGATAATTAAAAATCCTTGGTTTTTGAGGTGGTCTGTGCTATAACAGAAAAAGGAAGGTCACAAATAGGGAAGAAAGCAAAAGAGAAGAGGGGATATATTCCCTCCTTCAAACAAGTACAAAATTTTCCCAACATGCCATCTGATTTGAATTGTTACTCAGATGGAAGGGAAGCAGGGCAAATGAGAGAGGGATGGGAGGAACTGCAATTTCTTGGACCACTAAATACAGCTTTTCTTTATGGGAAAACTTCATCACCAGCAGCAAACAAAACACTTCCTCAAGCTTGCTTTAAACAAAAAAAAAAAAAAAAAAAAAAAAAAAAAAAAAAAAAAAAAAAAAAAAAAAAAAAAAAAAAAAAAAAAAAAAAAAAAAAAAAAAAAAAAAAAAGCACAGACATGCATAAGGGTGCCTACAGACGCAAAAAGTTGACTTCCATGAAGTACTGAGCACTCACATTTCCACTAACTGCAGCAGCCCTTGGAAATACTAGTACCTGAAAATCTCAACTTTATGTGCTTCTAAACAGATCTTATGCATTGAAGAGCATGATCCAGCAAGATCACAAGTGTCACCTATTACCAGACATATGTATTTAATTTGCATACTCAGGCTTCAAACCATCCTTCTTGTTTTCAAGCCATGACGTCGAAGGGCTGGTTGTAGCTCTTTCAGTCTTCCTTGTCTATTCTTAATGTGTGGAAAACCTTCAGAGTCAAAACTGGATTTACACCCTCAAGATTTAGGGCAAGAGAATTGCAGCAATTGGAAGAAGTTCTCTAGAAGAAGCCTCTGGGTGCTCTACATCTCTTTTACACTGTTTAACCCACACAAATTGAACACAGCAGACCTGAGAATCAGGGTCAAATTTACACTCACAAGTAAATGTTTGTACCTTCTCTAGAGCCTCTTCAAAACACAAGGGAAAAGTAAGAGTTTTACTGTGCTTGATATTTTGGGGTAGTGAGTTCCAAGTTTAATTATTTGTTGTATGAAAAAATACTTTCTTCTAAGCAATTCAAGCAATTCTTCCTGCAAACCTGCATCACATCCTGCCTCAGTTATTTCTCTCTAAAAGTGAAGTTTATCTCATCTTCTCACATAGGAGTAATTTGATATTGCTAATCAGCCTTCTCAGTTTTCTGTCTAAAATGCATCTGGAATTTCATCTAAAGACTGATGGTCAGAGCAGGCAAGAGTGCTCCTGATGAGAAGTGCTACACAGGCACTGCGCATCTGCAACCTCTGAATGCTGTAACCACACCATCCCTTGTGGAGTACCTCACAATAATTCAGCCATCTGGAGAGAAAGTAAGAACAATTTTGGCAGGGTCAGCATTCAAAAGAAAAAAGGTAACTTTCCCACCCTGTGTAGATAAAGCAGGCTGACAGCTGGTACTTCCTGGACATGTAGAAATAATTAGAGCATAAAAAGGTGCAAATTCCCTGTGAGAAAAGAATGTGAATATGATGCTTGTCATTTTCTGGGTTGTCTCTGGTAAGTTGTATTTGAGTGTTGAGAGGACTGTCTCTGAGTAATTTTGGAGAATCATGTTTAGCAATGTCTAAAGGGATCAGTCTAAAGTGTCAGGGCACGGAGTTAGGTATTAAGAGCCTAGTGAAGATGCTGCCCCAGTAGTTCTCAGCCTTTGGGTCATGTATTCTTTTTTCAGGCTCTTTTTCTGTCACTGGAAAATCCAAGTCAAATAAGAAGAATGCCTTTGTCTTTAACTTATATGAAGGAGATTGCTAAGCAAGAATCAGATTGGGTTTGGTATTTCAAAAAAGTTAGCAGTGTGATGAAAAATAGCTGTATTGATAATTTTTGCTAATAAATGGTCAGCTGCATTCATTGCTGCTTGTGGGGTCATGTTAAGCACCTGGTGAATGGAATTTGTTAAAACATGTATGAATCCTGAAGTTTTCTGGAATTTTGCATACCATATTTTTTCACTGAAAAGCCCAACTGGACAAGGGTTATTCACAGAAAAGCCTGAAGTCCAAAAAATGCTTTAGGATCTTACTGATTTCAGTCTAAGAGACTAAAAGTATTTGTTAACAAAATTTAATGGACTCAGATTTAGTTACCTTGACTGTTTTCATTGTTTCATCAAGAATCTTAAGGAATATTGTGTGATATAACCACTAATTTTAAAAAGTGAAGAGATTATGATAAGTGGTAGTCTGAAAATTGTTTGCAATATCTCTGTGAATAATAGTTTTTGAGACAAATAGATTCATTCACAAATGACTTATAAGCAAATACATGGGATAAAATACCAACTAATACTGTTTTAACTAATACCATATTTCTAATGTTATTTTTACTCTCTCAAAGGCTTGACCAACTTGAAAAAACTTGCAACAATTAAATTGCAACATGAATTAAGGACAGATAACACTGAAGGAAAGTCATTCCTGATACACCATTCCAAAATAGACAAAATATCATTATTTAGTGTAATTATAATAACTCTAGGCAAAGCCAATTGCCCAGGCAATTGCCCAGATAATTCAAGTATGTTAGCCTTGTCTGCTCCACCACAGACAACACAGAGCGTCATTGAAAAGGACATCTCTCAGAAAAAAACTCTCTTGAAGACAACTTCAGATTTATCTCCTTTGATCCTATACCCACCCCCCACACCCTCAATTTGGAGACTGGTCATATGAAGCCTAGTATTGAATAAGGGAAGCTTTCCTTTTTCATTTTCCTTAATTGGCTGAGTTAAGGGCTTGAGAAAATGAAAGGCATTAACTGTTTTTTTATTCTCTGCAGACAGTAAGAGCACTCTTGAACAACAACAGCACAGTCACTGTTCTGCGATCAGGCTTGCATGCCATCTTCCATGAGAAATCCCTGGATGTGACTAAGGACCTCTTTCAAGAGAAGTCTAGGAATCCAAAGAAACGGCAGAAAAACATACAATTAAAATGTAATTAATTTTTTGTATTTATTGTCTTTCCTCTTAAGCACCAGCTTGTCATTGTGGAAGGTCCAGCATTTCCTCTTGTTGATTCCTGACATCTGTCTTACTGGGAATTACAGTCTTCCTGTAACCTGAAGGGCTAGAAAAGAGCCAATAAAATTGAGAATCGAGCATGAGGTAATATCCTCCTAACTTTAAAGGTTAAGAATTAAAGGCTTTTGGTTCTGACTCGCTTAAAGCTTTTTGTGACAGCAGGAATGGGGTTTGTGTTACTGAATTATGTATTTCCTAGAAGAATTTTGACAAGCAGGGATATTTTTTCTTAGTTTCTTTTGACAGGAAAGATGTTTTCAATCATTGCATTTTCTTCTGTTATTAGTTGAAGCACACAAAATCAGTTCTTGTGGCCAGATTTAAAATACTGAATGCTGAATTGGACAAGGCCTTTTAGCTTTGGTGTCCTTTTGCTATATTGTGGCCTGTGGGATCAATGTTGTGCTGTGAACAATAAAATACACAGTTTGTGTGCAGCTGTGACATAATGATTTGATGGATTCAAGAAAAGGAATAGAATGGCAACTTAATTTTTAGATTAATGGTCTGCCATTTAAAATATTAGGAAGAGATAGGCAAGTTGGACTAGGCTGTGCACAGAACTAACTGGTGGAACCTCAGCTCTTTGTTCCTGGTCCATCACCGACTCATGCACTGACAACGGATTTGTCACAGACTTTCTGTGGTTGCTTTCAGTAGGGATAACAACTTGACTGCTTTACAGAACCATCAGGAGAACCATTTCAATAATATACATATACATACACATACAGATACACATATACATACACATATACATACACATACACATACACATACACATACACATACACATACACAAACACATACACATATACATATACATATACATATACATATACATATACATATACATATACATACTAAACCCAAAACCACTGCATAGAACAGTTATTACATTTTTCCATTATATTGTCAATGGTCTTAGTCTTCCCAAGGTGGTTTTATTGAATTCTCTTTTCATAGCTTTTCCAAACTGTCATTTATAATAAGCAAGGTTTCACTGAACTTATCCATATGCTTTCTTGAAGGAAGAGGTCTCAATTAGAAGGGTATAAATTCAGGGAGGTCCAATTTACCTTTTGGCATTGGGTAGTAGGTGCCAAACTTTTGGTGAAACAATTGCATTGATATGTGGCAACATTATCCATATTTCTAGTGGTCTATAGAATATTCTTCATTTTCTGATATTGTTTTAAAATTTTTTTTCTACCTTCAACAGCCTGACCTTTTTTCCCTCCGTTCAACAGCCAGATATTTTTTTCTCAACCACATAAAATCTCAGATAAATAAGTTAGCATTGCCTCTAACCAAATTCCAGCTTTCACATTGGAACTGTTTATTCTTGCCACTTTTGCCATGATGACTAGGTCAATGCAGATATATTGCAAATGGACATAAACATGAATTCTGACTGATTTGAAAATAGGGTATTATTCCTCACTAAAGAAATGGTATATTAATCAAAATGCTAGGAACAGATGTCTTAATCTATTTTAAGGTAAAGATAAAAGAAAGGGAAAAAAAAAAAAAAGGCAAGCTTAAAACTGCAGAAACAAACCAAAAGGCAGACCAATCACTTCAAATAACGATCTCCCTTCTGCATTTCACAGGTTTGAAAAACTTCATTTCTTCACTGGCATCTTCCACAAATATTCAGGATCTCCTGAGCTGTTTGTCTTCAGATCTCCAGACTTTTGTTATTAAGGTATAAATTTAATAATTTCAGAATAGAAGGAGTGATCACATCATTTATCCTGCTACATGCTGACTGGCACTAGTCTGCAGGAGCTACATTGCACACTAGAAACCTGACCAGACTGCAGATTTGCATAAATACAATTTAGGCATGCTGTGGAAAAAGGGAGAATTAATTGACATACAAAAATTCCATCTGTGCAAACAACTACAAGCATATTTATGTGCACATAACCACTCTAGTGGTTTCAGTATCTGCTCATTTCATAGACACATATTATCATAGCCCCTAATAAACTAAAATTCAGAAGTAATATGTTGGTATAAATGAAGAGAACACTTCATGGTTCCTTACATCCTTGTTTCACCAACTATTGACTTTTAGCAAGTGCTAAGAATTTCTAGTAGAAAGTTTCTAGCTCTTGTGAAAGATTCAAGTATGACCATCCTCACCTGATGGTGATTCAAGTATGACCATATGCACCTTTCAATAGATTACCAATTCTACCACCCCTCTACCTTCACTGACTCACAATTTGTGTCACCATGTTGGTACTACTGCTGCATTTGGTTGGTTACCACAACAATTAACTTGGGTTTGGGTGGCACTTAGTGTTTGGGATTTTTCCTCCTTTCTGAAGAAGCAGACTAAACTGTGTTTACTTGGCTTAATTATTTACTCTTATTTTTTTCTTTTTAAATGAAGAATAATACTTTGCAATTCTGTAGTGCCTCCATCTTACATAACCCTTAGCTACATCATGGAATAGCATAGAGAAGATGGAGTGGGACTTTTCCTGGGGGTTCACAGTTATAGACCATAAGGCAATAGACACAAGTTGCAGCAAAGAAAACTTACAATAGATACAAAGGAAAAAAAAATTACCATTAGAATAATTAAGCATAGGAAGAGTTTATCTAGAAAGGCTGTAGAATTTTTATCCAAGATATGTTCAGAATTTGGCTGGAAAAGGCCTGAACTAAGCTGGCCATTCTTTGGACAAGAGATCAGAATAAGTAATATCCAAAGATGTCTTTCAACCTAAGACATTTTAGGATTCTAATAGAAAAAAATGCTTGTTGCTTTTTTCACCTTTGCAGTTTGTACAGGGAAAATGGTCTGTCACACAGAAAGGAATTCTTTTAACCAACTTTATCATAAACCATTTTTCTTCTTTATCTGCAGCCAAGCAAGAATAAAGAGGCATTTAAAGAGCAGGCATCAGATTTCATGTTGAAATGGAGCCTCCTACTGAGCAATGTAGGCAAGATTCTGACCATCAACAGGACAGACAGTTTTGGTAAATAGAATCTTTGTGGCTCTAATTTGATAATGCCCCATTTTGACCTGAGATGGCAGAGGCAACAGATCCAAAAGTACCTAAAGGGGCCAATAAGAGCTGGTGATATAGTGACAGGACAATGGGGAATGTCTTTAAACTGAAAGAGAGCAGGTATAGACTGGATATTAAGAAAAAAATCTTTACTGTGAGGGTCATGAGACACTGGAACAGGTTGCCCAGAGAAGCTGTGGATGCCCCATCACTGGAAGTGGTCAAAGCCAGGTTGGATGGGGCTTTGAGCAACCTCTGGAAAATGCGTGGCAGGGGGTGGGCACCCTGGTGATGTGGCTAGACAGGTCAGGGAAATTAAATTATTAGATTTTGACCAAACCAGTTCTCTGAGCGGAACTGTAGGATGAGCATAAGAGAGAGTAGGAGCTTGCAGCTTAGATGGCAGGAAAGCCAGGACTCCCTCTTTTGGCAGAAGTTGTAGATTGTGGGGAAACAGGGAACAGGGCCTGTTCCTCCAGAGGTAAGAGCCTCTGCTTTCCTCCATACAAGAGTCCCCCAGGTTCTTTCTATATAATACAGCCAGAGCAGAGCCACTGTAATAACTAGTTGCCAAAAAAGTAGTTAGTTCCTTTGACAACAGATATACGTTCTTCTTATTTTTGTCTTACACTGACCTAAGTTCTTGCCTAGCCACCAGGACACCTGTTGAAGGTATTAAACTGACTGAAAAATAGCCACTTCTTTAGCTGGGTTATTTTTCTCTCAGTCTTAAGGCTCTGAGCTGTCAAACATCAAATCCATCATACAGCAGTGCAAGGTGGGAGAAGGGAAGGAACTGTGCAGTTGTGTTCACTCAAAGAGGCTTGAAGTGATAAAAACATGTCTTAAATCAGTCCCATCACTACTCCAATTGCCTTTCTCTTCACTTGCAACACCTTGCAAAGGTGCCACTTCTGCAGAAATGTACTGTCTCCCATGAATTGCATCTAATCCCAAACTGGATGAAATGCCTTTTAGATTTTCAAAGGAGTACCTTCATATTTTTAACTCTTCTGTTGGATGCAACTTCATACAAATAGCCAAAGAAAACCTCATTATTTTCTCTGAAATGCCCCTTCAAAACCATGCTTTCATGTTTGCTATAAATACATAGTATGTCAAGGTTGTTGCCTTTTGTGTTCTTCAGTATTCTTACCCCATTAATGTCTGTGCTTATGCATGTATGAACACACACTTCTTCTGCATCAAGCTGCTGCCTTTTGCCTTCTGTTTGCTTGTAAACTGTCTGGAGCAGGATCAGAGATTTGTTCTGTGTCTGCAGGGAACATAACACAGTAGGGTCCATCAGCTGCTGCATTACAGTAAGAGTAAAATAATCAGTTCTTTCTCTCCCTCCAGAGGAGTTCTGCACAAAACTCTCCAATGTTACATGCAATATTTTTGGCAATGAATAAATTGAAAATGCATTCCAAGAACTGCATTGAAAGTATAATATTTATTGAAATTCCCCATGATGATGAAATCCTCTCCCCTCTTTTCACCACAAGAAGAGTTTAATGAATTGCCTCCCTGTTCTGCAGTTGTGTGGATGGATGGGATACAATGGATGGAGCACATCTCTTGGTCTGCTGAGACTTTGTAAATAAAATACAGATTTCACCCATTTTATGACAGTTTTCCTACTCTACTTCAATAACACTAAAATTGAACTTATTTCAAATATGACAGAGTTAAAATTTTTTTTAATATTTTGCCATGATGCTTCAATAATTATCTTTTTTTACTCCTTGAGATGTTGTATTTGAGCTATCAATGTCCCTTTTTTTTTTTTTTTTTTTTTTTTTTTTTTTTTTTTTTTTTTTTTTTTTTTTTTTTTTTTTTTTTTTTTTTTGCATATTTCTATTCCTTTAGGACACTGAGTTTTAGCAGACAGGCTGAAGCGGTTCTGTTAACAAGCCATCTGGTGTAAAAGTTCTGTACTTGGGAACACTGCTTTCCAGAAATGTCTTAAATCTCAGCATTTCTTCAAAATATGAACTATGTAGCATCCTCACTGAGGAAACACAATTACCTGGGGAAATGTGTGTCACGTTAATCCAGTAACCAAAACAACTTTTACTTCTGACTTGACCTCTTGCCTTCTATCTGGCCACATCCAGCAGACATAATACACTGGCATACTCACACCTCTCAATTTAGGATTGACTTTCACCCTTTTCCAGCCCAGCCCCTGCTTGCGTGATGCCCAAGTGAGATCAGAGGAGCTCTGCATTTACCCCTGCTGTAAGGAAGCAGGGAGCAAGTGTGCTAGAGCATTCAGGGCATATGGGACCTCTACAGCTCATTCAACTCCATCTCCTTTTTAGAAAATGTGCCTCTACACACCTCCCTCATAGAGTTTCATGTCAGCTCACACACCTCTGTTGCCTTCCAAGGCATTCAAGGATGTACTGCCAAGCCATGGGGACTGAGAGTAGTGAGCTGTGCATTCCTCTTCTTCAAGCAAGTTGCTTCAACCTGGTTCCTCTTAAGAACTGTGTTCCTCTGTATTATCCCAAAAGACAACTGGAGTGGTAGCTTTGGCTTCATGCTTACTCTTCTTCTTAGAGAATATATTGAAAACACATGTAAGAGTGCTAGAAACACTCTTGAATGACTATTAACAAATCAATATAGTTTCAACTCCAACTATATAAAATCCCTTTCCTTGTTCCATAAGCAAACAAGTACTTCCTCCTACTTTTTTAGTTTAAAGATCCTCAAAAGGATTAACAGCAGAAACAGCAGCTTCTTAGACACATATCAAAAGAGAGTATTTTTCATTTTTAAAGCTCTGTAAACTGTGGTCATTAATATAAATTGTGATATTTCCTTGTTGATGTCCATATAAACTAGTTTGTGGGGTGCAGAGGTTATAAATGACTTGATGAATTCCTATGTATATTTATGGCATGGAAGATCTACTTTTTACAGTAAGGGCTTTCAACCAAGGTATGATTCAAAAGTCAATGGCCTCAGTGAGTCTCTCTTGGCTTTTATCACTTATGGTCCAAGCTGCAAGGTGGGCCATTTAATGTCATAGATACAACACACACAGATGACTGTAGGGGGTTTTGCTTGGGAAGAGGCGGAACAATTTATCTGAGGGGAGAATGGGGGTAATACATGTTTATTGGTAAGTCTTGTAGTAGAAGTGAATGTGGAGGAGAAACTTGAACAGGAAAGTGAATGAACACAACTTCTCTCTCTAGTTAAATAAGGGGGGAAATTGCATATGTTTAAAATTAGCAGTGGTACTTATTTTTCTGGGATATTTGGAAGTACATAATTTTGTAATTACTGTTTCATGAGTGCTAGTCCATTACTTTGTCTAGCCTATTATATAATGAAGCCCTCCAAAAAAGAACACATAATAAAGATATGCAAATGAAGAGATTGCCATAATTATCTTTGTTTTTCTTTAAACCTAGGATCCTGGCTTTTGTTGAATATGCTACTTGTTGATTTTGCGGCTCACATTTTCCAGTCCTATATAGAAGACGATAAAAGAGAAGGAAATGCCTTGGTTGCAAAGCAAAATGGGGCCTCTGTTCTGTGTGTTTACGAGCCCAGTCATCTCTCAGCCTGTTTTGCTGAGGAGGAACCTCAAGCCAATGCTCCACAGACAGCTCTTATGATGCAGAACCAGAATAATTTTGGATTAAGCAATGCTTTCCAGAGTTCTGAGTTGTTTGGTGAACACAGCCACAGTCAGCAAGGTGAAATTAACATTTACTTGAAAGAAAATGATGGGGAAAATATTATGGATTGGGCAAATTAGGACAGATTGGGAGGTGTGTGGCTGTTTGGGGGTATTTTCTGCATGTAAAGTAGAACTAATGAAATCTAGATTTGCATGGAGCTGTGTCCAATGTCACTGAAACCTCAACCCACAGAGCATCCGCCACATCCTGTCCCCACCCCACAATTATATCAAGGGATTGTCATCTCAACATCACCCACCTCCCCAGCACCACAGGTTCCTAATTCTTTCCTTAGGTTTCCAGCAGACCTCTGGAGCTGCTTCTGATTCCCCAAGTGTTGTCTAAGGAAGAGCAGTGCTGTTCTGGTGGGTTGGGGCAGGCCATGGGCTAGCTGACAAACAGACTGCATGGATTTATTGATCAAGAAGGAGAAGGCACAGTATGGTCTTTCCTCACTTTTGGAAGCACTGAGAGGCTCTCTTCCCTCCAATTATCTGTTACTTTTATCAAAAGATATGAAATATCTTCAGAAATATGAAATCCTTGAGACCCTTCTGCTCTACTAGATTTTCTTGCAGTCAGCTCACTGCTCCAAACTTACTAGCATAAGGTGTGACATGCAGGTAGAAAACAAGATAGACTCTAAGTCTTCTAGAATACAAGGCTAAAATACAAGAACACATGGGAATGTGAATCAAGCCTCTGTGGTTAATACAAGTGATGAATTAGACATTCAGCTGTTTTCATATTTCTCTTCCATGCAGTAAAAAGTACTCGTCTTATGTCACAGAGAACATTGTGTTTTCCATAAAACTGTGAAAGAAAAATGTTAATGGCACCAAGACTCACAGAGAAAACTACATTTTTGGGGTGACACTACTACAGTTATTTTATTCCCAAGAGGTATTCAGTTTCCATACAGTAGGACAGGAGTGGAAATTGACTGTTTTACAAATATCTTTATTAATTATAAGGCCCTGTAAGGGACCCTAATTTTTTTAAAGTATACTAAGACTAGCTCAGCAAAGAAAACTGGAGGGGAGAAAGCAGGTACAGAGGACAAACCAAGGATAATTTATACATGTAATGGGCATGTCTGACAGCTTTTGTTATTTTTAAAATGTGAAATAAAGACCCATTCTGCCATGCCACCTTTATGTCAAAACATAAACTGTGGTGGGTACCGACAATTTGCAAGAAAGCTCTAAATCAGTGATAGTCAGAAATGAGGAAATGAACCACTAGAAATTTTATTCAATATCTCCCCATTTCCAGTGTTCTTCACTGTGATGCATTTTGTATGTCCTATGCCCATTGCAATGCTTTTTGCACAAGTTATCAGACAAGGGCTTGACCCAGGTTTGGTCTGTGTAAGTAATGTGCTCATAAATATGTATCAGTTTTGAATTTTTTGTACCTGATCACAAGAACAGAGCAAGGCTGATTAGAGTGAGGCATGAAGAATAATCTCTTTCAGATTAAGAGGGGAAGAGTGTAAAATGTGAAATGAGGAGTATGAGGACTTGGGAGAAGGTGTGGATGAGGGAAGCACATAGTGAATGACTGAGAAAGTGTAGCAGTTTAGACATCAAATAAGCCATCAGATGATGGATTCTACCAATCCATGTACAAGATGCTAATAGCTGGGATGAAAAAGATATATTCTAGTAAGTACTTGTTATGTTGTGGTTCAAGTGCTTACAGTTTGTGAGGGAGTCGAAAAACTTGAACCTGCAGCTCAAAAGGGCTTCGGGAGCTGTGAGAGAGTGAGTGAGCACTTCTGTCCATTCATGTTCTTCAGATGGGTGGTGCTCCTGCCTTGACCACTGCAGATTCTTTCTTTTGTATATCAACACTGATGCCATGGGTTGCTGAAAAACACAGTTGCCAAAAGCATCTCTATCACCCACTGCTTTGTTTGTATTGTCATCTCTGTAGATCCTCTGACAAGATTTCCATTGCATGAGGATTTCTGTTCTGTGACTTTTGATGACCAAAAATCATCATCATGCTTCCAAGGAACCATCTGTCCCTGCTCTTGACTAATCCTCCTTTGCCCACAGGCTATTCTGTTGGGTATCTAAGCCCTCAGCAGCCATAGCAGCATCCACCAGCCCCACTGCTGTTTCCTGGACCACATTTCTGCTGCCTGACATATCGCTCAGGCTTATTTAATAATTTTTGCTTTTAATTCCTTCACCTTAGGCAGGCTTGGCAGCTTTCTGCAACCCAGAGCTTTTCATCAGTTCCCATCCTCCACTCCCTGCAATGCCAGCATCACACAACCTCCATAGTTTTTAATCTTGTTCCACAAGGCATTTCTATGCCTTCTCTACAGCCTGTTATGCTGTGGAAAAAAAAAAAATCTGTTCATCGCACCTCCCCACTCAGCTCATTGAAATTAGTGCTAACCACTCAGTCTTGCTACAAATCCCTGGAAAAATACGAGGGAAGACTGGTAACATAAATCAGAAAAGAATCTCCCAACCTTACCCTGATATCAGAAGCACCAGCATGTGTGACTTAGCAGATCCCTTCCTGATCTTTTAGTTGTCACCTTTATTCTTCCTCTTCCTTCTCCATCTGTTTCTAGGCTTCCATTCCTAGTTGATGCTGAATATAAATTAGACTCCTCAGCAGGGAGACCATCTTTTCCCATTTATTTTGAACAGCACAGTACATTTATGAATCTTATGTTTAAATATAATTTAAATAATTAATACATAGAATTAATACATAGAGTTAATACTCTGGAAAACAGAATACATTCCAGGTTGGTGGCATCTCCCAAGGAAAACATTGGTTTTAATACAAAAAAAAAGTAGAGGGCAGAGGGAAAGATAGTAGAAGATTCGTACACACTGGCTTAGCAGGGAAGTGTGGCAGATGAAATGCTAAAGACACAAACATATATGAACTGAAAATTGATTAAATCAGTGGCAGTAACAGAGATACTCTGGACAAGCCATAATCTCTAAAAGTGCAGCTCAGAGAGAATTGGCCAGATCTTTATTCCTTATCACAGTGCGTGCAGTTGCTTTCTCTCAGCATGAATAGCATTTTTTTTTAATCTAGCAAATCTCATTCTAGGTTTCTGCTTTTTTTTTCACATGCTACCAAATTAAAATCCTATTAAGCAGCACACCTGCAGTGGGATCATCTGTAGAGCACTGTGCTGTAGCTTTTAATCCAATTTTACACCTTCGTAACATACAATATACTGCAAATCAGGGCACGAAGAGACTGAGGGTATGCTATTCCTAGCTCTGTTGGCAGAGAGCTAATCAAACACTTTGATTTGTTAAAAAGGGAGAAAAAAATAGGACATAGTTAACTACTTGACTTATAGAAATGGTAAGTGTTCATCTGAGTGGTCTGTATAAACCAGGATACAGAGATCAAGTGAAATTATTAACTAAAATGATCAAAAAAATGAGAGGAAAATCATGACCCTGATTGAATTCAGTGTCAAAACTTCTGCTGACTTTAAGAAAGCCAGCATTTCAGCATGAAAAAGCAGTCCCCATCAGGAGAGAGGCTGAGACTGTTTGTCAGCTGTAAGCCCTTCTATTAATTTTCAAAACAAATAAAGTGTGAGAAGTATGAATGACATATTCAAAGGGGATATGCCCTTCTGTCAGACCTTTACCATCCTATGATGACCCCACTGTGTGCTTCCTCTTGTTGGGTTTATTTGATGTAAAATAAGGCTGGATATCTATAAAATACCTCAGGTTCAGCAAGTAAGAATGGAGAAGACTTTTTTGAAAGAAGGGAGAAACAAATAATTTACAATTTCCATATTTCTTTTCTAATTTTCAGCACATCCAGGTAATTTAGGAAGAGAAAATTATTATATCATGTACTAAGTTGGATCTTCAAGTTGAAAAAGAAACATTTCTTACTCAAAAAGATGAATTTATATTTCTTTGCCTCCAATGAACAGCAAATCTTCA